ACAGTGTGACCCAGACTGGATTGTAGGGGTACAGTGTGACCCAGACTGGACCGGCGATCTCTGGACCGTAGGGGTACAGGGTGACCCAGACTGGACCGTAGGGGTACAGTGTGACCCAGACTGGACCAGCGATCTCTGGACCGTAGGGGTACAGTGTGAACCAGACTGGACCGGCGATCTCTGGACTGTAAGGGTACAGCATGACCCAGACCGGACTGTAGGGGTACAGTGTGACCCAGACTGGACAGTGATCTCTGGACTGGAGGGGTACAGTGTGACCCAGACTGGACTGTAGGGGTACAGTGTGACCCAGACTGGACAGTGATCTCTGGACTGTAGGGGTACAGTGTGACCCAGGTAAGCCTATCGCAGTCCTGACTGCTGTCCAGTGACTGATCTGCCACTCCCTCCCTTCAATCACTGAAGAGTCAGAAAAGAACCACAATAACTGTCTTCAGGGTTTTAATCAGGTCTTTCTCTGTACAACACAAAATCTTTGTTTAAGCTGTTAATAGAAAAAAGTCACAGTTAATTGAGAAAGATAGGTCTTAGATTTCAAAAGCAAAGGTTTAGATTTCTAAATGCACTTTTACTTAAAAATTGCATTACAATATGAATTGCACTATTGTCGAAAGAACCATCTTCACCTTCTTAAATATAATTCAGAGATCAGGGAAAAAAAGAGTCTGGACTAGATTGGGAGCTGGATTAGTTCTTCACTGGGATTACAATCAGACTCACTGACACTGACAGAGCAGGCTGACACACTGCAGGCTGGACTGGACTGGGAGCTGGATTAGTTCTTCACTGGGATTATAATCAGACTCCACTGACACTGACAGAGCAGTCTGAGACACTGCAGGCTGGACTGGACTGGGAGCTGGATTAGTTCTTCACTGGGATTATAATCGGACTCACTGACACTGACAGAGCAGTCCGAGACACCGCAGGCTGGACTGGACTGGCTGGACTGGGAGGGTGGGTTATCATAATCACAGTAAAGCCACTCCAGTCAAGTCTCAACGAGAGTCTGAATAAAAATCAACCTACGTCCGTATGTCCGGGACAGTCCAGAGATGCATCAAATATTGTCACAGGAAAAAAAGAAATTTCCAGGCCTGCTCCCGGGAAGGGTGGCTGGGCCCTTCCCACGGTTAACAAGCCATTCCTGAATTGCAATCCCACCCCTAGACATTCCCATCACATTCCCTGATCACTGAACTGCACTCAGTACTTGCTTATTTGACCTCTGGCGCCGGCTTGTACATCGGCATCGGACCCGCAGGGGTGACCCGAGACCGACACCCAGCGGACCATCAGGCTGGTCAGCACAGGGGTCGGAGGTCAGGTGGAACTCCTGTGGGGCAGGTCGGCTGTCCAGACCGCAGGCAGGCTCACTGGACTCCAGCACGGTCACCCCTGGGCTGCTGGCCCGCCCTGGAGCGGATCAGAACCTGCCTCCTCTCTCTGTGTGTGTGTGAGAGAGAGAGACAGGAAGTCTTCCTTCATGACACCACTTCCCCAGGTACAACAGCAGGGGGATTGTGGGAGACTGTGTGTGTGTGTGGGGGGGGGGGGCTCCCCAAGCTAGTCCTGGACACCCACACACCTGCTGGGGTTCAGTACCGGTCCGCTGGCCACAGGCAAGGGCAGGTCTCCGACAAGGAATGTGGGGCTCCCTCAGCTGGGGAAAAACAGTGTGACCTCCTACAGGCCCAACCGAGCAGCACCCAGTCCCCACATTCACCCTTCAACCCCGTGATCAGGGCGGTGAGGGGTTCGACTGCGTGACTGAGAGCCGGGGTGACTGTGTGGAGACCCTCTCCCCCCCGCAGGACCAGGACTGGGGCCCCCTGAATTAAAGCACTGCCCCACCCCTCCCACCTCCTGCCCGCTCCTCCTCCTCTGGAGACACATTAAAACACTGACAGAAGAGCTACAGGAAATAAATACAAACGTCTCCCGGGAGGAGAGAGGGCAGCGGTTTGTCCAGCGCCCCTCAGACCCCCGCTGACGCGTCCGGTCCGCCCCCAGGCCACGAACCACCCCTCCACTTCTGGATTGGTCCTTTATTGACTTAATTGAATCTCACAGATGAGACCCTGCAGGACAGGCAGGGCAGCGAGGTGAGGTCGCGCCCGTCCCCGGCCAGCCTGTCGAGATTTCCCACTGTCATGCCAGGCTGACCTCTGACCCCTGACCCCTGACCCCTGGCGCTGTGCGGGGGGGGGTACACGGGAGTCGACACTTTCTATTTCAGGGAGAACTGCGCTTCGGCCGCGAGTCAGTAAAAACAGGAACGGGCGCCCGGAAAGTCCCGGAGCCCTGCGCCCCTCGTGCTCCTCTTCGGGGTCGGGCGGCGGAGAGGAAGAGGGGGGGGGTTCACGCGGCAGGATGTCGTGACGGGTCCCCCGCCATCGCGCCGCTCGAGTCCCCACGGGATCCAGGTCAGGACGCCCCCCTCTCTCGCCCGCCTCCCCCGCCGCCCTCAGGCCAGGAAGACGACGAAGACGACGAAGAAGATGATGAGGATGAGGAAGATCTTCACCATCAGCCAGCGGTTGGAGGTGACGGACTGGAAGTACTTGAGGATCTCGCCGTGCGCCGCCTCCACGTTCAGCTGCGTGTCCTCCACGTTGGCGTCGATCCTGAGAGCCGGGGACACAGGGAGAGGGGTGAGTCCCGCCGCCTCCCTCTCCTCTCTCTCAGGCTCCTTCTCTCCCCTCTCCTCTCTCTC